CCCGCCCGGCTGACCCCTGCGTTCCCCGCCCGCCCCGTGTCCCCCAGCTCCACGAGCTCATCCCTGCCGTCATGACGTGCATCGTCAGCCGCCAGCTCTGCCTGCGTCCCGACGTGGACAACCACTGGGCCCTGCGGGATTTCGCCGCCCGGCTGGTGGCCCAGGTCTGCAAGAACTTCAGCACCACCACCAACAACATCCAGTCCCGCATCACCAAGACCTTCACCAAGGTGGGGCTGGGGATGTGAGACTAGGATGTGGGGTGGGCATGTGGGGCAGGGATGGGGATGTGGGGCAGGGATGGGGATTTGGGGGCAGGGGTTTGGGCCGTGGGGCAGGGTTTGGGGCAGGACCAAGGCTGTGGAGCAGCAGATGGGGATGGGTTTGGGGCAGGGAGGGAGCTGTGAGGCAGGGTTTGGGGCAGAATTGGGGCTGTGGGGCAGGGCTGAGGGCTATGGGGCAGAGGGTTTGGGGCAGAACTGGGGCTGTGGGGCAGGGCTGAGGGCTATGGGGCAGAGTGTGGGGCAGAAGCTGAGCCGTGGGTCAACATCCCCCTCTCTGCCCCAGAGCTGGGTGGACGAGAAGACGCCCTGGACCACACGCTACGGCTCCATCGCGGGGCTGGCCGAGCTGGGCCATGACGTAAGTGTGTGTCCCCCTGCTTTCCTGTCACCATGTGTCCCCCGCGCCCCACAGAGCCACATCTGCCCCACGGCATCGTCCCCGCAGTGTCATATCCCCCCTTTTCGCGTCCTCTCTTGCACCCCTCTGTGTGTTTGTGTGTGTCCCCCACGTCTCCTCCTGCAGCATCACCCCCCTCTGGGACCCCATGTCCCCTCCTCCACACCATTCCTCCCCCCAGGAATGTCCTCTTAATGTCTCTAATTTGTCCCCAGGTCATTAAGACGTTGATCCTACCTCGGCTGCAGGTGGAAGGCGAACGGGTCCGGAGTATACTAGAAGGTCCCGTGGTCAGCAACATCGATAAGATCGGGGCCGATCATGTCCAGACCCTGCTGCTGGTGGGACTTGGGGACACGTTTTTCTGGGGGGGGGACACACATTACAGGGACAAAGACAACACAGAGAGAACGATTTGCGGGGGGGGGGCCACTGTGTCACCCCATAATTAGCAGGATTGCATCCAGACTGCGCTGGAGGTGGCACTTTTGGAGGGATGGTGCAGGTGGGAGAACGTGGCTGTTGTTGGGGGGGGGGTGGGGGGGGGGGGTGTGGCTGGGGGGGGGGGGGGGG